TTTGAAATTGATTTGTATAATTAAACTGTAACACGTATTTTAACGATTTCAACATTTCATAACTAAAATGTCGCTGTAAAAATGACCCAAGACACGTTTGGTTGCGTCACAATTCTGATTTTGAACTATGATATGATTACGTTGGTAGAGCAAGTAAGGAATAACAAACAGTTGTTGTACCACTGACATCATTAATTTGTTTTGAATTTCACCCAAAGCTACACGAGGGCTCTCTGCGTTAGCCGTCCCCAATTTAGCAGTGTAAGACTAGGCAGCTAGTCATCACCACCCATCGTCAACTCTTGGGCTACTCTTTTACCAACGAATAGTGGGATTGACCGTCATATTATAACGCTCCCACGGCTGAAAGGGCGAGCATGTTTGGTGGGATGGAGATTCGAACCCACGACCCGCAGATTGAGCGCCATAACCATCCTGTACATTGAATGAACGTTTTAATAAATTTCTGTCATTTTGTGTCCGCTGTTTTTTTTTGTGATCTTTGTACATCTATATACGAGCTTCGGTTAAATTAAGCTAGCTACCTATATAAATCGGAACGAAGTATTCATTAACCCAGTAATTAATACTATTTATTTAATATACTCTTTTTATATTTTTTCTTATGATTATAATTCATTGTTACATCAGTTGGTTTATGGTACTCTCACTGTTAACGATATTTCCGGCCATGATTCCAAATTAGTATGCGAGTTTCTTTGAAGCATTATCATATTTTGTTAGATATATATAATGTTGTTGTTTATGTAGGCTAGTAAATATTTAACAACAAGTGTATCATTTCCGAAAATAGTGATGTACATTATATACTCTATGTGACAAGGTAACATGACAACTGACATCTATAAACAGAGTGCAACTCGTTTTTCACTGCTTTATTTCATTTTATGACATAGTTCTTAAATAATTTTACAAATACATATTCTAAAACATAACATAAGAGAATCTGATATTGTTTCTCCTCAAAACTGTAATAAATAAACACACGTTTGTGTGTGTATATATTTCCATGGGAGCAGACAGTGTCAATTATATATGTATCATTGGAATAAAAAAAACAAGATAAATCGCCTGTTTTCTTGCATGCTGTCTTCTTTTGACTTGATAGAAAACATCTCTTTTTTTTATTTTTATTTTGAACCAAAAGCACTAGGAACTGAAGGTCACATATAGAATTTACTTTATACTGTTTCAACATTTAGGGCAAGGAATCAATTTTGGCTTTTACTATAAAAAGAACAGTGGAGTTATCAAAACTTTAATTGTACTTCTGTTAAAATTGTTTATTACAGATTAATGCTATATTTAGAGAGAAAAGGCATAGAAGAAACTCAATCAATAATACACAAGAAAATTGATAAAACAAATAACCTGGATTAAAAATAAAATAGATTATTACATTTTCACATAAACTACTATAGGATAAAAATAAACACTTAATTTTTACAGCCATGTAAATAACATTACATTTGTTAGATTTTTTACATGACAGCTTTAATTTTTGCTATAATTGGTGTGAATAAATAAAAAATAATTTTAGACTGTTTTTTATTCAATTTTAACAAATGAATAAAATAGTTTAGTAACTCAAAAATTCCCAGACTTGACTAGTTTTTCCTCAAGAAGAGGTAAAAATTTAGCATTTTTGAACATACTCTTGAAAAAACAAAAATGATGCCTAAAAGAAACATTACAAAAAATATAACATAGACTCAGTAAGGCCATAGAGAACTGTCTCGGTGACTAGATGGTATAGGGATGTGATATTTTTCATGGCAGTAAATATAAATATCAAAATAATAAAAACATCTAGATCTAGACACATTAGGAAAACCCAATATAGACTCAGTAAGATCATACAGAACTGTCTCAGTGACTAGATGGTAAAGGAATGTAAATAAAAATGTCAAAATAATAATAACATCTTGTGTACCTAATAAGTTAAAAAATATTATAAAACATCTAACATTTGCAAAGAATGCTAAAGAAATAAATATAATTTGTTTGTAGTTAAGCACAAAGCTTCACAATGGGCTATCTGTGCTGTACCCAACTTTGGTATTGAAACCTGGTTTTTAGCCTTCAGATTTACAATTGTGTCACTGGGGGCAACTAAATATAACATTTACTTTACACACGTCAGAGATAAGAAAGAAATCCTTTAATGCCACATCAGTGTTTTAAAAGGATTAAAACTGATATTCTAAATCTAAAAATAATCATTATTCCACGAACCAACTTAATCACAACTGGCATGTGGTTATCTTTCAACACAAGATGGGTTTAAGGAAAAAAAAGCAGAGAACTTTAAGGTAAATTAAATAGCATCTTTTTTTTATTAATTTTCCTGCTTACTCTTTTATGTGTCAAAGTCGAAATAAATATTTGGGCCACACCCAAATCTTCATTCAAATGCTGTTTGCTACATTATATTTTAAAGTACAAGTTTGTTTATGTATGTGGAAGAGTAATAGATAGATTATGTGATAGTTTACATTTCAATAAATTCTTATTTGCTAGGCCTTTTCTTTTTTAATACAATTATAGATTAAACCTCTCCTGCAATATAGTTTCAGTTAAACCCAGAGAAAAGAAACTTAAAAATCTAAGATGACCTCTAAACATAGAAGTCTACAATTCTGGACTTATATCATGAGCTCTTCATTCAATAACTATACTGAATTACTAAATTTCAAGTTTATATACATCACATGAATAGTGTACCTACTGTATCTGACAAGGGCACAACTTCTGATACTTACAGTAGTAAAATACGTCTAAGGTGTCTTAAGAAGATTACAATTAACTACCACATGACATAATATATTATCCAAAGGTACATTAAACATTCTACACAATAAACCTGATATCAAAAACTTTTACATGTTGTAGAGCTTTAATGTAATAAGAAATCCATAATACTACATTAATGTTTAGGGCAAGTTATAATTCAAGGTCAGTATATGAACAAAACACGAAAAATGTAAAGATTTATGAAACAAACAAATTTATGAATTACAGGAAATACACACTTCATTAGAGTACTTTCCATTAAAAACATATCTTAGAAGGAGCATATTATAATTTTATTCAAACTGTAGAGTACATTACATTTCAAACAATATACTACATAGCACATTACTCCTTAAATCTATACTGTAAACTTTATTAAAGTATAGATCCTCAAAGTGAAGTACTTTGGCTTTTATGTTAATTCCTGATTGTAAAATATGTAACAGGTTAACCACAGACTATAATTATTTTACACATTAAAACTAGACTTAGACTTTTTTAAAAGTACATTGTGGTTCATATATCTATAATGTAAGTACATATAGTTTATTCATAAACTGAAAGTAAATTACAGTTTAATCCTACATTGTAATACACTACAGCATAACTCTAGACTGTAAATGCATTACAGTTAAATTGAAACTACATTACAGCTTAATACATAAAATATGTCTACTACTGTAAAATTTACAATGTTTGCCATACTTCATATTATTTTAGTGATGTAATGGAATAGAAGAATCATAATTACCACAAAGAAATTTATTGTAATATATTGTTACTAAAAGCAAAATAATTTTTATATTTATTTTAAAATCATGACATCTCTCTCCATCAGATCTAAACCAGCTTATGACTTAGGTTATTATTTTTCATACTTATGATTAAAAGACAACAAAATTTAAATTAGAATTTTATCATCTTATACTAATGTTTGTTTGTTTGTAATTAAGCACAAAGCTACACAATGGGCTATCTGTGCTCTGCCCACCACGGGTATCGAAACCCAGATTCTAGTGTTGTAAGTCCGTAGACATACCGCTGTGCCACTGGGGAGGCCTTATATTAATGATTTCTTCAGTTTTACACAAATAATTCATAATTAGCATGCTGATGTTTAATGTTCTCTACTTAACTACAAGTTAACTAATAAAATATTTATATTTCTATACTTTATTACATAATATATAAATTAGAAATCCTGGCTGTTATTCAAAATTAAAATGTTATCCAATACCTCATTCACACACATACAAACACATATTGCTACAAACTGGTAGGTTCTCTTAGCTATCTATGATTACTCTGTATTTAACTATGTTTATTATTCTACCCTATTATATCCTATGACTGTAATAACCCTTTTTTTTTCTATATTAGTCAGAAAAGTGTGTTAAGAAAGGATGCAGAATTTCTCCAACATGTCTCAGAATTTTAGAATTTTCAGGACACAAATTAGGCAGTTTGGTGGGGAAAATCTAATAAGATATTAATAAAATCTCTTTTAATAATTTCTATCTCAGGATGAGATCATCTATCCAATAAATAAAGTAAAGTAATACCCTATCCACTTATATCTGTAAACATGTAACACAAATTTCAATTCAACTTGAAAATGAGAAGTTTTATATAATCTCCATAAGGTAATATCTTCAAAATAACATCTTTATAGCTACATTAAAATTAACTTAGCATTCACATTATTGTAATTACTAACATAATTCAGTGAAGGTTCTTATAACTGTTGAAGAACTCAGGTAGGCAGAGTAAACCCATTTCTAGTTACTGAAAACCAAAGTATTACTGAAGAGAAATTCTTATATACATATTGTAAATAGAATATAAACAAAACAGTGATTGCAGTCTGTGTATTAATCATCACTCTTTCTTTGAAAACTAATTCCTACCATGTATTAAAAGATAAGAACTGATTACTTGAATGGACTAACTGCAGGAGGGATATAATAATACATGTATATAAATATTTAGTTTAAATAAAAGTCCAGAAATACAGCTTTTGAGTGGATTGTTTATTTTTATTCTTTGTTTAACTTAATTACAAAGTTTCTACCACTCAAGTGGTCGAAACATTGTGATTAAGTTAAACCAAAAAAAAATAAATCAACAATCCACTCAAAAGCTGTATCTCTGGACTATTATTTAAAGTGTATAGTGGATTTCCTCACCTCAAAATAAATCTTTGTTTTGTTTGTTTTTAAGCACAAAGCTACACGTAGGGTTATCTGTGATGTGCCCACCAAGGGCATCAAAACCCATATTTTAGTAGTGTAAACCCTTGTTATATCATTACTTGTTATATTTATTTTCAGAAGAATTGTTGGCACAGATGAGTATATGCCTACAGTAACAAACATTTTAAATGGTTGAGTATTTTGGAGTATATATTAATTCTATATTTCTGCTTCATCTGAAGGATGCTGCCTAGGGTATCTCACTATTGGGGGGAGGGGCCTGCATATAATATTTTAATGAATGATTCTTAAAAATGAAGCTGGAAAACCCCAAAATCATATAGCTGACTCATTAACAAACAAATCACACTGTTATATTGTACAATTTCCATCACATTGTTGTTGTTGTTTCTAAGAATACCATGAGAGGCTTCTCACTTTGTATATTCCTTAGGGCTCTACAGTGTCTAAAGTCATCATTGTTTGAAGATGAATGACTTTCAGTAATGCCTATGAGGTAGTATCTTCAAAACAAAACTTGTAAAGTTGTCACTTTCACAACAGCAATTCAGAAGAATATAACTAATTTTTTGGTTTGTTCCTTTAAATATTGCAGTGAAATTACGTCTAGGAAACAAGTGGTTATTGCAAAAAATTGTATGAAGTTTGTAAGGAGAATAATTCAAACAAAATGCTGGTACTTGTAAGTTTGAACATAAAAAACATGGATTCCTTCACTAACAAACAAAATCTTTTCCTTCACATGGTGGTTAATTTTTTTTTTGAGGGGGGGGGTGTAAAGGGTCTGGGCTCCTACCCCTTACAATAACCTTTGTTTTGTATATATTTTTTTACTTGAAAGCTGAATTTACAAGCAACTTCACTTACATAAGGATTATGTAAATTACTTTAGCAGAAGGCAAAATACATGCAAGCGTAGAATGCAAGATATTTTTTCTTGTATGTACTACATTACACTTATCCTGGAAACACCCCTCCCTTGCACACATGTAGAAGTTTGCATACATCACTGCATTCACATCCATGTTGTTTCTTAGCCTGAGTACACACCCCTTTCAGATAGCTTTCAATGAAAGGATTAAAGCAATAATTAAAACAAAACAATTACCTACTACTTTTTATAAAGTAACCCTTTGAAACACGCATAGAAGCAACTTAATTAAATGCCTAATATTGTGTGGGAAATATGCAAAGCTTTTAGAGAAACTTAAAGATTAATCAAACACCTTTGCTTTGAAAACACAAAGAAATCACATCAAATGTATCTATCTATTCCTATGTCTAAAAACCTCAAATAATGTTATACTCTATAAAATCATGATAGTGTTCCAACTATAGTTCAACCATATCTAGGAATCTACTAGAGTGCAATTTTTAATTACATGCAGATCAAACAGTGAGAGATAGAAACTGGATCAGTACTAAGCAACAAGCTGTTTTATAATGTCACCAATGTACTTTAGAAGAAATAGCCACATTATATTTCTAATATTTTTTTTCCACTTTATACTAATTCAAAACACCACACAGTGTTATGTCTACTGAGCTGTTTGAAAAAGCATTATGTTTTTCATTACCAGATGAGTTCCCTACAAGGACTTAACTTACTAACTGTCAAATAATTCTGCTTATCCAAATAAAACCACTAGTAAAGAGAAGAGCTGAAAATATTTTCTGGCGAGTAAAGGCCAAAATTAAATACATATCAAGATAAAATACTCTAAATATATACAAATCTTACGAGTACACATCTTCTGCACTAAAAGACCTGTTTAAATGCATTATTTTTAGGATTCTAACAAAAACTTCATTTTACAAAGGAGATTGGTACTTAATCTTTTTCATACCAGCATGGATGTCTTTGAACTGCCTTCATTTCATTTTACACATGTGAATACTTTATATTTTATTCTTTCTCAGAAAGATCTTTATTTCTCCACTATTTTAAAGTTAAAATGCTTTGATCATAAAAACAGTGAAAACTTTTTAAGAGTAAATGTTCTGTTAAATTATTATCAGAATGACTGGTTTCAAAATCAATGAATACCATTCACCTTGAAGTGGGTGCAATGACACATTTTCATAAGCTCAATAATTAACACTGTAAGAACTACAATAAAACTGTGTTTTAACCTTTTTGTTGGGAAATGTATGTAGCAAAGAATGTTGAAGAATATGTTTAACTAATCATTCTTCAGTGTTTCTGGTTTAACTCTTGGTACCAACCTCATTTTCTTCGTAATCATGTAAATGACATGCCACATTAAATATATAATGTGGCAGACAAAGTAAAGTGAGGAATACACCTGAAAAGTAAAAAACAGTAAGTTGAAAAAATTATTCTATATTTTTAATGAATTAAAGAGTTTTCACTTAATATAGGGCTTACTGCTTACCAGATATAACCCACGTAAATTCCTGTATTGCCAGTTTATGTACTATAAGAAAAAACTTTTGCTTTAGAGGAGTTTTAAACTGTACTGAATGTTATTATGGACTGCATTCACACATATCTTCATTCCTACATTTCAAATACTTGCATTCATTCAAAACCTACAAACTTCAAATCCATCACAAACTTCCAGGAACCTTTTCACTAAAACCAACTGTAACAAAGTATCTCGTATTGGGGTAAATATGTACAAAGATATAATACTGACTTGTATGAATTTTGTTCTTTAGAGAGTTAAAGTGATTATTTTCAAATTATCTAAGTGTGTTAAAATTAAACCTATCTAAAATCTTGTATTTCTAGGCTTATGTAATTTGGATATCAAATAGTTATTACAGTACATTGCACTTATTTTGAACACAGAAAAAGTAAGATAACCTGATAACCAAAGTTTATAAAATTAAACATTTTACTAATCTAATGATGTAAAATATGAAAGTTAAACTAAAAGAACTAGTTCAGAGTAAAACTTATTAACAAGTTTATTTTAGATCTGCAACTACACTTTATCAAGATAGTTTTTCCTATTCAAACTTCATCATCATAAAATTTTGCTCAGGTAAAACTGTAACTTCTATTCACCTACCTTTAACCATCTTGATGTTGATAAAAGTACAAAAGGCAATAAGCAGTAACTCATGGCAAAAAGCAAATAAATCTTTTTTAGAAGATAAACTGGCATCTGTAAGACACTTGAGCTCAAGGAAGTTTTTACAGCTGGGATCATGTCCACAAAAGTAGTCACCTAAAACACCCCAATGACTACATTTAGTGAATATCAAAATAAGAATGATTCTTCAGAAATAAATTAATGTAATTTTAAAATATAAACTAATTAATTTCATTTTAATGTAAAATTACAATAAACAGTAACACAGTTAAAGACCTAAAATTACATACATATACACTTATATATTTATATATGTGCGTGTGTGTGTGTGCAAGAAAAAATATCCATATAATTTTCTGTTATTCCTAAATAGTCAAGAATGTTATTATCTCAAATATATAACAAAAGTCTTTAACAAATACAGGTAAAGTAAGGTACATAGACAATCTTTTTTTTTCATTTGCTAAAAATCACAAAGCTACACAATAGACTATGCTTTGTTCACTGTAGGGAATCATACCCCCAAATTTTAGTATTGTAATTTTGTAAAGTGACTGCTGGGGGACTATAAATAATCAGCTGTTTCCATTTTGTTTGTAAACAGTCATTCATAATCATATTTATTGCAAAAAACAATCTGAAAGGAGCACTAAATCATATACTTTCTAGTAGAAGAGAGAGACTTCATAAAACAATGAAAGTAGCAAATAACAAATTATGACTAAGGATATATGTCTAAAAGCAACAAACTTTTCTGTTTACAAATATAAAACTTTTTATGTAAGAAATGTTATTAATGGGTTAGGGAAGGAAATAAAGCTTGCCTGATGTTCAGAAATTCAAAAATGTGAAGTGTGGCTTAATAATTTAAATTATACTGGCTAAACTGTGGCTTCATTAACTAAAGACATTTTAATAACTTGAATAATACATTTTATTAACTTCATCTGACTATTGAGAGCAGTGTGTTTATAAGAACAGTCTGTCAGTAACTTGTAATTCATACTGTAACAAACATTTTTTACTTGCTATAAGAAACCACCAGTAATTTTCTGATTACATAATCCTCAAACTACAACCATGTTTGTATATCTATCACAGTGTTTACCTTGAAAGATAAATGGTAACTTAACTGTGTTAAAATGATTTTGAATATGCAAAGTCACAACTGATATAAAGTTTTGGTATAAAGGCAAGTATCAGAGCTACATTTGTCGTTTTTTTGCATTTAATAAGTAGTGTGATGCCTGTCATACTTGTACACTTGATGGATTATGGAAAGCATGGAGGAAGAATTGATGTGTTTCAGACATGGCAGTCCTATGATAAAGCCTCTTGCAATGAAAACCACACTGTAGTACAGTTCTCAAGATGCATGGTCATCAGAAAAACAAAAGTGGTTATGTGGACTGTAATGACTTGGTGAAGCTGCAAATTTGTCTTAATATAACATACTCAACCTCTGTGTAAATAATACCTGTACTGTAACTGTGTTTGTCTTCTGTAAAAGATCACTTGTAACTTTATTGCCACATAAAACTCCTAGTAATGCATAAGAATTTTATACATCATATAAAAGATCATCAATAACTTTTTGGGTATATGAAACTCGTATTACATTAGAAAGTCCACGAATACATAAAACTTACATAACAATTGTTCTTTTTAATCATAAGATATAACAGTAATATTAAACAAAAACTTCTGCAATGATTGAGACATTCATGAATTTTACTCCTCCATAACTAGTATAAAATACATCTCTATTTAAGTGTATTGAATCATGTTTTTCCAAAATTTTCATGCAGTTTCTGCATGTAGCTGTGTTCACCAAATGTCTCAAGGTGTAAACAAGTAGTATTCCTTTTACATAGGTGAAGGCTACATATAGCAACTTTTACTTTTTAAGTCTCAAGCCAGCATGTATGCACTTCTGTATGGATTTCTTGGAAGAAAGTCTATATAAACAGGCAATACAGAAGCCTGTGCACCTGGCTTGGCTTAAGATTGCATGTAAACCATTGGTTGAAATATGTAACTTGTGGGATACTTGACTTTCTTTGTTTGGTCTGAGGTACATAAGTTGGTGTTTCTAGAGTTATGTATCTTGATTTCTTTTGGACTTTTGATTTTGCATTGACCTCAGCAGCCAGACAACAAAAAAGAAGAAGTCCATCCAGTTTAGGTAACCTAATAAAGAATTTTGTGTTTGCCTATTTTCCTTTACTGTCCTTGAATTTATTCTTCGATTAACAGTCCTGAACCTGTGTTTTGCGGATATTTGCTCTTCTGTTTGACATCAGGGTACCTGAATATCACATTTCTTAAATATATTACAATTTGTTGTAAAGAATAAACTACTTCATTTCTGGAGAAAGCAAACACAAAAAAGATTTTATTGACAAGTTTTCCTGACATATAACACATGCACAGCACCAGATGGAATCATTTAAAAAATAAAAGTGTGGTTGAACTTACATCTCTTTCAACCTTCATGACTATAAATTCATTAAGGAAGCATATGTAATAGCCAGTGTGAAGTCCATGCCATAGTGCTAGAAACAGCAGGGTAACTGCCTGTGAGAATAATTTGTTCCCAAGGAATTTCAAACGTTTGAACACATACCTGACGAAAAAAGAAAACAAATAATTATGTATATATATATATATATATACATATATATGTGTGTGTGCATACTTACATACATGCATATAATCCAAATTCCAGCAATTACCTATCACAATACGTGTTCAAAACAGCCAGAGAAAAGTGGTTACTTCTTTAATATAAAGAATGAATCAAACAAGACTGAATGTGCATTTAATAAATTTGTTTGTCCTTAATCAGATAATTCCAAATTTTAATATGAAATAATAATAATATTACCATAAATATTATATAATTGAAGACCTTAAAAAACTCTGGAAAGTAAAGAGACAAGAGAAGGACAAGAAACACTCACTCCTCCTTATAATCTAGCAGATGTTGTTGAAACGGGCCACAGGGGGTAGTCGAAAACCCACAGAAGAAGAAAGTGTCAGATCATGTAAAGAATGTGAGAGAAAAGTATTGGGAGAAGACCACATACAAGCCTGTATGACGTCCTCCAGTGGGCAATTGAAACAGGCAACTAAAGACATAGAAATGTGACGAATCTGATAAGATGTGACTCACATATTTCCTTGCCTGTATAGAAAGTCCAGAATAAGCAATATGGATCAATTTGCAAAGTCACCTCATCAAAGTAATTGGGGATAAATCTCGGGAAACTGAAAGATCCCAATGAATAAAAAGTCAAGTTCCATCATCGAAAGCAGTTACTGCGAGCCACATAATGCCTCAGGGCTCTGACAGGATATAACAAACGACCTGTGTCCAATCGATTGTAGAGGTGAGAAATAGCTGGCCAAAAAATTGGTGAGAAGGATATATCCCCATTCCTGGCTGCCAGAGTCTTAGGAAGAAAGAACCTATCAAGGTATAGCAGGATAGAAGTGGAATGAAAAAGAGTCCTGTGCAAATGTAGTGCAACAACTCTGACCTACAAGGTCCACATGCTAGCAGCAACAAAAATACCATTTAAGGGAAATGTTATACATGGTACATGAGGCTCAATACACCCTAATATCCCAGTTGGGTAATTGAAAAGGCAGTTTGGGATGAAGGACTCTAAATGATTGGAGAGAGCTGAATAGCACTGGGGATTCAAAACTTTCCGATGTTTAGAATAACAAAAAGTAGTCAATAAAGCTGCCTTATATAAAGCGACAGTAGATGAAGCTAGGCCTGAGTAAAAAAAACTAAATCAAAAAATGAGATATGGTGGCCATGTTTGGGTAAAGTAGATTCAATTTCCTCATGAGACAATATTAGCTGTAAGTGAGCCATTTTCATTGATAAATGGCCATTGTGAGTCTATAGATAGATTGAGACACATACAAGGTAACTTTAGAAGTTAAACCCTGATGCCTTGCGAAGGACAGCAGAACTTCCATACAAGAAGTTTGTGCTTATGAAAGTTTAGGTGTAGAACAGTGGATCGAGGTTGCGTAAACAGAGATAGCCAAAGAGGAAGAGGCAGATCCTCTTGAAGATACTGTAGAAGAGGCAATCTATCCAATGTTGACTGAATGCATCTATCGCCAAAGCCCGAAGATGATGTAGTTGAGAGTTTCAATGAATGGCGATTTCATCGATCATCAGAGTTATTAACTGGGAGCAAATCCATCAGAAAATCTCACAATGGAGCTTCCTTTTGATCAGGAGAATTTGATTGGGCCGAGACAGGTGATCTGCTATTAAATTCATCACCCCTAGAACATAGCAAGCCAGGAGACTGATATGATGGGAGTGAGTCCAGTAAAGAATATCCAAAGTTTGAAAACAAAGGTCCCAAAAATGCATGCCTCCATGATGGGAAATTTAAGAAATCACCGTAGAAGTGATGGAATGAATCATAACGATTGTCCCCTGCAATAGCTCTATACCTTGAACCATTGCTTGTTGGACAGTAAGAAGTTCTAAATTATTGATGTGGAATGAAGATTCATCTTTGATCCATAGACTCTGGAATTACTGACCTTTGATATATGCTCCCCATTCCTGAAGTGAGGCATCTGTGAAGAGATGAAACTCGGGACAAGGGGGTGGTATAAGAACACCGATGGTAATATTGATCTGATCCAACCACCACCCGAGAATTAAGATGTTGCTCCTGATTAAGAAGACTGGATGATCCAGTGGATCAGAATTCATGATCCAATGGTTGTGCAGTGACTACTAAAGGGACTGCGTGAGTGCTTGTCCTGAAGGAATCAGATTCGAGGAATGCCCATATCCCCAAAAGAGATAGAACCATTCACATGAGTAAGAGCCTGACTGTCCATTCCATAGCTTGAAGCTGGATGGGAGTTGGCTGAGCCTGGCTGAAAACATGTTGGAAAAAATCACCCAGGTGGACAATATATTAAGTCAGCACGAGAATGGATTTCTTGGCTATGATAAGAAAGCCAGGTTCTGAAAGGAGAATCTGAGTGTGTTGTTCTGCCAACTGACAAGATGATGTCAGAAGTAACCAGTCATCCAGATAATGAAGTGTGCAAAGGCCCAAAGTATGAAGGTGACAAGAAAAACTTGTACAATTTCACAGAAGACATATGGTGCAGATGTCAGACCAAACAGTAGAGCTCTGAAATGCAGAACCCTATCCCTGTGCATGAAACACAGATAGTGGCAGGATGACTTTACTATGAGAATGTGGAGATATGCATCAGCAACATCGAACATGGTCATCCACAAACTTGGTGAAGAATTCCAACATAGGTTGAGAAAAGACTCCATTATGAACGTGGGAGGATCTATGAATTGGTTGAGACGAGAAAGATCGACAATTGGCTGCCAATCTCCTGTCTTCTTCGGCACAACAAATAAATGGGAATAGAATCCTGGAAGAATGGAATTGATTCTCTCTACCACCACCAACAACTATCTGATAGCCTTGGAACGAAGATCCACACTCTGCGGATCTATTGGGGTTAGAAATACCACAGGTTGGGAGATAATAGAGATGGAGAAATTAACTGAATGACCAGCCCCGATGCCAGAACCTGAAGTACCAATGGATCTGTGGTGAAAGAATTCCAGGTGTCGTTCAATTGTTGTAACCTCACTCCGACAGACTCCACCCACATAGGGTAACCATTGATGTCATTGGCAGCAGCCTACCCAAGCAGAGGAGCCTTGAAAATAAGGATGGAATCTATTCTGAGTACCAACAGAGCGAGGAACAGAAGATAGAGATCGGTATACATGATGAACAGTCGCGCCATGACTTCCAGCAGGAGCCAAAGAAAGTTTAGAAGCCAACAACTACAACAAGGAAAAAGAAAAGCAAATGGGCGACATCAATTCATGGTTTCAATGCCTCTGGGACGCTCGTGAACATCACGGAGGGCTACAGCAGGTAGATGAACTCCCTCCAACAAGGTATCTCTAACCAATAAATCCCAACAACATACAATCCAGGAAACCAAAGAAAGAGCAGAAGCTGACAATCTTACCATGGTAGAAGTTAGCAAAAGACCCAATTCGTCCTGAAATTGATCAGGAGACAACTGATAGGCTTCCGATAAAATTATTTTTTTTGGGGGGGAAGAGAAAAATATATCAGAACAGGAGTGAGGGTCAAACGAATCTAAGAAATTGTGATCTGTTCAAAATGAACACAGGTTCCAGTCTGGAACCCCACATATTCAAAAGAGGATCTGGTTATTAGAATCGAAATATACATCCATCTAGCAGTGGTAAGCCAAGGCATGCTACTCAGACAAACGAGGGGGACAAGGTATATCTATATCATCACGTAATAGAGCAGTAAAACTCCCAGCATGAACAACAATATCAGGTGAAGTAGGAAAACTAAGTAGTCACTCTCAGACCTTTCAGCCATCAAGAAAGGAGTAGATTTAAAGGCAAATGACGATAGTTCCAAAACCTGACAAACCCGATTGACTAACTGAAGAAATGGAGCAGGAGTTGGCTGATCCAAATTGGACTTGTGAGAAGCTGACTTAGTAAACAAAGCCGCTGGAAAAAAGAGAGTCCAAATTCTCTCCAGACTGTCCTGGATCATCTATAAAAGCAGCCTCAGAACCTCCTGGAGAGATGCCCCCAGATCAAATATACACCTGGAAAAAAGTTAAGCACCCCCGTATTTTTTTCAAGTGATTCAGATTCGACGTTCTTGTGACTGATTATAAACTACCATTCAATCTAAACGTGTTTATCAAATGAAATTATGCATTATTGGGCACAAGAAAACAAGATTATCACCGCAAAATAACAATTTTTAATTTACATATCATGACATCAAAATATGGACAGTTTTCACGCTTAAAATTATATTTAATAAGTATTGTCAGTGAAAGCTAAAAAAAGTTACTGAATTGTCA